AATTGTAAGATTATTTTCTCTAAATGTCACAGTAATCTTTTTAAAAAATTTGTGATTCCACAGAATAAAGGTACATTTTCTGAAATAAGTGTGGGAAAGGAGATCAGCGTGGTTGGGGTGAAGGGAGCCAAGGGAGAGACTAGTAGGAAATTATAGGGAAAGGGAGAGCAAGGCCTATGGCTTAGGTGGACTTTGACTTTCACTTTTAATAATATAGGAGGCCTTTAGAAGGTTTTGAGTGAGAAATAACACGATCCCACTTATCATAGAAAGTTACTGTGACTTCTGTTCAAGATTGTAAGAAGCTGTATAGGGATATTAAAGTATGGTTTATTCTGGGCTCACACATTTGTTCAACTGGCTAATTTGTCAGCCTTGGTGTCCAAACCACCTGTCTTAATTTTCATAGCTCTGTTATAACCCTCAATATATTCCACAGAATATATAAGGGCCTCATCCTTCCAGATCCTACTGTCAAAATCAAGCCACCTTCCTTTTCTTTTTCTTCTTCTTACTCTTTTTCTCCTTATAGGAAAAAGGTGTTGTGTATACTCTGCTTTTCTGTATGTTTTTTAATCAGCTTGTTTTACTTCTAAGAAAAACCTATTGGGGTTTTGATTAGAATTTCATTGACTGTATGGATCACTGTGGAAAGAATTAAGAACTTTAGTATTGAATCATCCTAGCCTTAAAATTTAGATAATTTGATTTATTTAGATTTTCTTCAATGCCTTTGAATAAAGCTATATATATGTGAATATATGTCTTGAATATCTTTACCTTATTAAATCTTAAATGTCTTTTTCGTTGTTATTGTGTGATTTTAAAAACTACATTTTATCTTTTTACTGATATATTTCCAAATTGATATTTATTTATTTTTATTTTATTTTTTTAAATACAACTGCATTAAACTTATTTATTTATTTATTTTTTAAAGGTGAAGACTTTTTTAAAAAAATATTTATTTTTCAGTTATCGGCAGACACAACATCTTTGTATGTGGTGCTGAGGATCGAACCCGGGCCGCACGCATTCCAGGCGAGTGTGCTACCGCTTGAGCCACATCCCCAGCCCGAAATTGATATTTATTAAGCTTATGTTTCAGCTACCTTGCTAGAAATTTATAATTTTAATAATTTATTTATAAATTCCTTTGTACTTTCCATGTAGACAATAATATCAGCAAATTCTGCTCTGTATCCCTTTTTACAATTCCTTGTATTTTACTTATTTATTTTTTTCTTACTTTACTGAGATGGTTAGACTCACCAAAATATTTAATAACAAATTTATTATATATTAATAGAAGTCCTTGTCATGTTTTTAATAGTTAAAGAGACTAATATTTTACATTTAAGAGTATTTATTGCAGGTTTTGGTCAGATGTATTTTTCAGGATATGAACATTTTAAAATCATTGAATCATGGACATATTTTTTTTTAAAAAAATATATATTTTAATTGTCAATGGATCTTTCTTTTTTTAATATAAGATGCTGAGATTTGAACCCAGTGCTTCACACATACTAGGCAAGCACTCTACCATTGAGCTACAACCCTAGCCCCATATTTTTCTTTTTTATATTTTCTTAGTTGTAGATGGACACAACCTATTCATTCATTCATTCATTCATTCATTCATTCATTTTTACATGGTGCTGAAGATCAAACCCAGTGTCCCACACACTCTAGGCAAGCATTCTACCACTGAGCCACAATCCCAGCCCCATATTGTTCTTTTGAAAGCTTGTCCCAGTTCACATGCCCACCATACCTGTATGAAAGGATACTTCTTGTCAATGCTTATCCACACCACATGAGGTACTCTTAATTCTAAAAAGTTTCAAATTTCATAGGTAGCAAAGATGATTTATTTGCTTAGATTTATTCCAGCCCTCCATTTATTTATTTATTTATAGCCGTCAATGGATCTTTATTTTATATATTTATTTATATGTGGTGCTGAGAATCAAACCAGTGCCTTGCACATGCTAGGCAAGCACTCTACCACTGAGCCACAAACCCAGCCCTATTTCTGCCTTTTAAACCAATGTTTTGTGTTGGTACCACTGTTATTTTTTATAAAAATAGGATAGGAGGCTGGGGATATAGCTTAGTTGGTAGAGTGCTTGCCTCGCATGCACAAGGCCCTGGGTTTAATCCCCAGCACCCCCCCCCCCCACACACACGAATAAGTTTTAGAATTGAATTTATTTATGAAAATATTTCATATTTAGAGAAATTGCAAGAATAGCACAAAGAATTTCGTTTCTTATAGCTTCAGCACACATTCTCCAAATGTTAACATTTTATTGTATTTGCTCTTTTATTATTATACTGATTATTTTTTCTCTCATTCTCTTTTATCCCATTCACACTTACGTATTTTTTTAAATGAATGGTTTAAGTTGCAAATATGACGCTCCATTTTTCTTCTAAAAGCTTTGGTGCTATTTCTTAAGAACAAGACCATTATTTTCTACAGCCACAGAAAATTATCTTTGATACAATATTGTAATCTAATGTATAGACATTTAGATTTTGTCAGTTGGCTTTTATAACAAAAATAATTGTTTTTTTCTTGTCTAGAATCTAATCCAGGATCATGCATTGTATTTATTTATCGTGTATTTTAATCTTTGATATAGAACAGATAGAAAATGTTTTTAAACAATACTGGATAGTTATTTAATAGAATGTTTCTTGGCTTAGGCTTGTCTGTTGTATCTTGTGATTTTACATTTCTCATAGAAATGCCACAGAACTGGTGGTGTGATGCATCCTATCAGGAGGCATATAATGTTTGTTTGTTCCTTTATTGTTGATAATAACTTTGATTCCTTAAGGTTGGGTCTGGCAGGATTCTTCACTATGAAATTACTATTTTTTCCTTTGTAATTAATAGGCATCTTGTGGGGAGATGCTTTGAGACTAGATAATACCCTGTTTTCTGGTAAACTTTCAACTACGAGTTTTAGTGCATATTGGTGCTAGTTGCCTGAAATAATTATTACAAGAGTGATTGCCAAATGGTGATTTTTCTAATTCTATCACTACTTTTTATTATTTGGGATTATACTCCACAAAAGAACTTTCCTTCCTTCCCCATTTATTTATGTCACTAAGGATTTATGCATTTTTATTTAATTCTCTGGATTATAATCTGTAAATATCTTTATTTTGCTGCTCAAATATTACTCATTTGGGCTGAGGTTGTGGCTCAGAGGTAGAGCACTCACTTAGCATGTGTGAGGCCCTGGGTTCAATCCTCAGCACCACATAAAAATAAGTAAAACTATAATAAAGGTATTGTGTCTAACTACAACTAAAAAATAATACTTTTAAAAAAATATTAGCCATTTGTCCAGTGGGAGTCATTTTAATCAGATTCCTGTGTCCATTTGATATGCAATCATCATTCTTTGAGCATTTCCTTACTTTTTGGCACCACAAAAATATATCTTAGGATCATATTGTACTTTTCTTGCTCTTACCTTGGAATCAGCCATTTATTTCTCCAAGGAACTGTGGGACCTTTTATTGGAGCACTGGCTGTGCTTGTGGTTATTGGGGGTGTCATTGTTTCTAGAACCTCTCAGGGGACAGCTAAGGAATATATATGTTTATGAGTATATAAGCATTTACAGTTACAGCTCTAGATATTTTTCTTTCTTTCTTTCTTTCTTTTTTTTTTTTGTTAGTGAAAAAAAGTTATTGACTGTATTAGGGTTTTGTTGAGAGCCACAGCCGAAGGGGTCCCAGCAAACTTCCAGCTGCCAGCATACTTACAGCTGCCAGCTGATGATTGGCTCATAGCAGCCCCAGCAAACTTCTAGCTGCCAACTGATTGGCTCTTCTGTGGTGATGCTCATTGGGCTGTTTCCCCGCCCTTTCAGACCACGGAGCTGCTCATTGGGGGACTTTTTTTGGTTCTGCCCACATGACCCAGCCAATGGTCTCAAGAGCAGGAGGAGTGGGGGAGGTTGAGAGGCTTGTGGGAAGCCTGTGGTGGCAGTTGGGCTCTGAAGGTTTTTCCTGAGGAGCTGTTTTGTTTTGCGTGTGTGGTTCTAAAAATAAAGTTCGTTTCTTTTGACAAGTGGCTCCTGAATTGTGCCCAGCCAGACTGCCGCAGGGTTTTCCAGAGAAATAGAATACATAGAATATATTCTTTCTTATATGGGTCCATAACTTGAATATGAGTGTATGAATATATACATATACATTCATTTATATGTATATATAAGAATATATCTCTTTCCAGAATGTGTGTGGGGGATTACTTTATTATCATTATTTGGCTTATACCCGGTTATATGGAGCTTGACAAGTCCAAGTCTGAAACTGGGCCAGCAGGTTTATGGCCCATGAGAGTGGATGTTTCAGTTTGAGTCTAAAGGTCTGAAGCCTCCAGGAAGAGCCTATGTTGCAGATGATGACTGAAGGCAGTCTGCTGGAGCATTCTCCTACAGCTCTAGATATTAAAAATTGAGCTTAAGAAAGCAGGGGAAAAAAATCCAAAGTGAGCTTAATATCATTAACTTCAACTCCAAGCCTTTCCCTTTTCATATTCATAGCTCCCTTACATGAGAGTAAGAAACAAAGATCTCATTATCTACAATGTATTTACTCATTTACTCAATCCTAGGATACTGATAAAGAAGTTTCATCTCACTGTGTAATAAAAACAGATATTTAAGTGGTGGAATACAAAATTGTGCGGTTTTCTTTGTGTTTCAGTTTGAGGACAGTAGGTACTATTTTCAAAAATTTACCTGGGGTTAATTCTTTCTCCCTTGTCTCTGTGTTACTGTGGTTGTGTTACTCATTCACATATCTTGAGGTTCATTCCATTTTGGGTTCTTCCCTCTTTTTATTGTTTCTTCTTTGTTTAGCATTATGAAACATTAACACATTTTTTTTAAAAAAACACTGTACATAAAGGTGACAGAGTACTGCAACATAAAACTGATGATTTTCCTTTGTGTTTGTTCTTTCAGGAACTCATTTAATGCTTCATTATTACAACAAATATGTGAAAATTCCTGTCAACTGTTGAGAATTTTTTCCTTTGGATATTGTTTCCTCCATTTACTGCATAAATTTCTTAGAAAAAAAATTTTTTTTGGTGCCATGTTCTGTGGCTTACATCAAAAGAGGAGTTTGTCTTCATGAAGATTCCTAACATTGGTAATGTGATGAATAAATTTGAGATCCTTGGGGTTGTAGGTGAAGGTAAGTTGAAATTTTTGTATTCCTTGATTTTTAGTTTTTGCATTCCTTGAGTTTTTGATTAATGTACAATTATGCCTACCATCAAAAATTTTACATATTCAGATCCTATTAATTTAACCTCTCTCAATTCAGATATAAATCTAAGAGTAAAATATTAAAAATACAATTAACACTTAAACAATTTGAGTCTTACTCTTCAATTGAAAGTTAATGACAATGGGCATGGTGGCCCATGCCTGTAATTCCAGCATCTCAGCATGTAGAGGCAGGCAGATTGCTGGTTCAAAGCCAGCCTCAGCAACTTAGTGAGACCCCAAGCAAGTTAGCGAGATCCTGTCTCAAAATAAAAAATAAAAAGGGCAATAAAAAATAAAAAGGGCAATAAAAAATAAAAAGGGCTGGGTATGTGGCTCAGTGGTTGAGTGCCCCTGGGTTTAATCCCTGGGACCAAAGAATGAAAGATGAAAAAGAAAAAAAAAAAAAAAAGAAAGAAAGTCAATACCATTTTAAAACATTTTAAAGTTTAAATAAATCAAGAATTTAAGACTACTTTCATTTCATTCATTTCGTTAGCAATTAGTTTCCTTTGTGTGTATATGTATATATTTATAGTTACATTTCATTTTTATATCAACTAAGTTATTTTGAATAACTTAAAATATTTTATAAATGTTGGACTTCAATACATAGTAAATAAACAAATAACTTCTATTTCTTTGAGAATGACAAACCACATTTTATAAATTTTCAGGCAGTGTTTGGTCATATTTTAATCTCTCTAAAATCAGGATGTGTTCTATAATCAGTAGTACACATGGTTTAATTAGAAATACCTTTTCTTTTCTAGTAGTATATAAAATAATGCTTTTAACCAATGATATTACTGATTTGATGAAGCTTGATAATTCATTTTTCATAAATTGACTCCTAGAAAAATCATCATTTCTTCCCAAATTTTTCCTGCTTGGTAATTCTTGCTCTTGACTTAGAGGTAACTTTATGGAAATTTTGATAAATGATTTTGCTCTAAGAAGATAAGTGATTATAATTATAGTTTCTTAGCATTTTTATCTTTAAAGCAAATGTTATAGAAATTTCATATTTTAGGTGTTTTCAAAGAAACTGAATTTCAAAAGAAGTTTTAAAAATTTATGTGAAAAGCAAAGCTGTTCAAGATTTTAATATCAAGTTGGTAAATCTTTTTCAAATAAACAGAAACAAATTAGCGTCTAGTCATTAGATACTTGTTTCAAGGTCTGAAGTTGAAAACATAAAAAAAAATGGGTTCTTCTTCCTTCACTAACTTCTTTTTCATTCCTTTGTTGGTATTAATCATTTTTTTAAAAATATTTTTAATTGTCAATGGACCTTTATTTATTTTATGTGGTGCTGAGACTTGAACCCAGTGCCTCACTCATGCTAGGCAAGCGCTCTAATACTGAGCCACAACCCCAGCCCCATGTTGGTATTAATCATATAAATAAAATTCATTTTCAATCTCATCTGTTTTTTGACAGCTATCTTTTAAAATTTTATTTTTCAAAGTATTACAATTATAGATTTAGGCAATGGGGCTTCTGACTGGAGAAGGTCAGCACATAGGATATAACAAGATTGGAATGTTCTACATTCTGGGCCTAAGTTGTTCTGGATCATAACCTTGTTTTTCTCAATACACCCATAGGTAATAATCTTCCCAGGTATTGGTTCAGATTAACCAAAATTGTGAGACTGTTGTTTCAGTTAGAATATTAACTTGTTATAATCAGAACCTTAGTTGCTATACATATTTTTTCTTCGTAAATTACTTAAGTTTTTTTTCCCTCTAAGAAATACCTATATTTGAAGTTTATAAAACTCTGTCAAAAAAACTCTACATCTTTGTAGCCTAGAGAGCACATTTCCACCTCACTAGAATACCTGGCATGGGCTGATGGTGAAGATTGGATGATGTCAGGTGATATGGAGTTAATTTGTTTCTCCTGGCTGGTTTCTTAATTCTGATAATAAGTTTCCTCCATCTCCATCAAAATGAGGGAGGTTTTAGGTCCCCTAGCCTCTGTTGGAAGTTCCCTTCTCATAGTTGCATACAGGTTTTGCCTGTTTGCTAATGCCAATGTTTTTGATGTTTCTTCGAAGCTCTGTTACACTTGATTTTTTTTTTTTTTTTTGTACTGGGAAATCAAACCCAGGGGCACTTAACCACATTGTCATATCTCCAGCCCTTTTAAAATTTTTTATTTTTAGACAGGGTCTTGCTAAGTTGCTGAGGGCCTTGCTAAATTGCCAAGGCTGGCCTAAACTTGGAATCTTCTTGCCTCTGCTTTTGGAGTTGCTCATAGGCCACTGTTATAGGTGTGGGCCACTGCACCTGGCTACATTTTGATTCTTTATTGGATCTTTCACATTTTAACTTTAATGTCAGTTTCCTGAGTACCTTGTTGGCACAATATTTTCTCTGTTCTGCCTTTAAGAAATTAAGTTTATTGCCTAGATAATGGGTTTAGTCACTGAAAGGTCAAAAATAAACCTTATCAAGGGCTGGGCTATAGCTCAGTGGTAGAGCGCTTGCCTAGCATGTGTGAGGCACCGGGTTCAATCCTCAGCACCACATAAAAATAAACAAATAAAATAAAGTGTCCATCTACAACTTAAAACAAAAACCAAAAAACCTCATCAAAATACTTGAAAGAAAGTGGGAGTGGGAGTGGCCTATGCCCTTAAGCTGACACTTCATGGCAAAAAGGTAGCAACTCCCACTAGTCATTAGTTGGAATGCTGAGATCTACAGTATTTTTGTGTGTAGTGTGTGTGTGTAGTGTTGGGGATGGAACCCAGGGCTTATGCATGCAAGCACCCCAGCCCTGACCTGTACTATTTTGCCAGTCTGAAGAGATTCCAGTAACATAGAAGAGGGTTTCAGTGACTCCTAGGACAGATAGTATGTTTGGGTAGGCTCTGTGCTTGAACTTACTCTTGGAAGTTATTAGCTTCTAGGTTTTAAGTTCCCTAGAACCTTCGAAGTTAATTTTTATTTACTCACATGAGTTCTATGATCCAATCTTATCTCTGAAAATGTTTAAGCTTAAATTTTAAAATATCTTAAATAAAGTTTTCTATAAGAAGAGAAACATTTGAGAGTTTTATTTAAAATAAAATATACTAAGGTATCATGCTCTATCTATATGTAGCTCATTATTATATTTTTAGTCTATAATATTGTGATTTTAGTTATTGTTATATCCTGATCAGCAATATAAATATAGTAGAGTTTAATTTCTTAAAGAGCTTTAGTTTGTATACATGCCCCTGATTGTTTACTTCTGTTTTTATTATAGGAGCCTATGGAGTTGTACTTAAATGCAGACACAAGGCAAGTACATAGTTTTATAAGTAAAATATTTGTACATGCTTAAAGTGTTTGAAAGTAACTCAGTACTCTGTATACATGGGCATATAATTAAAACTGTCTGCATATGATGATGACGCTTAATGAAGTAGAATTGATATGTGAACCAGAAAAAGAGATGACTTTTGGATAAGCTTGATCCTCATACGTAAGTAATAATTAGCTTTTTGTAATCCCATGCTATTTTTTGAGCCAACTGATATGTAGGTGAAAAACTGCTTAATGGGAAGAAAAAAGAAGCTGGAGAATAGGCAGAAAAAACAGGTAGCACCAGATTTAATTCACATTCAAGTACTTAAAGAGCAAGGAGGTGTTTTATTTACTATTTTTCATGCAGACTCAGTAACTTACATTACTTGATAGATTTGAATCCAAATTTTTAAGGGTAGTAGATATATATTTGGTTATGAGCTGGCGCTTGTGATGATAGTATATGATTATAATTACTGGTTGCTGCTAGCTGAGGACCCTTGAGCAGCCTTGTGATAATCTTATAGATTTTTTTTTAATATTTGTTTTAGTTGTAAGTGTACACAATAAGCTTTATTTTATTTTTATGTGGTGCCGAGGATCAAACCCAGGGCCTCACATGTGCTAGGTGAGCGCTTTACTACTGAGCCACAATCCCAGCCTCTCTTATAGATTACTTGACTGTGATAATAATCACAAATTGTTCAGGAAAGTTATTTGAAGTTTACGTAACTGTTGCTAAGTGAGTGTTTTATTGAGAAACTAAGATGGCCAGTGTTAAAACTGTAACAATTAGGTTAAATGGTTTTCTATTATGATGTATCTAGTCTAAGTATTAATTTTTGACCTCATGTTATTTTGGATATAATTTGATTTTAATAATGATATAATTCGTGTCTGAGATGAATTTAACAATTTAACTTAAAACATTTGAACTCCAAGTAATTTATAATATATGTGTGTAAATAAAAATGTTATATTTCTATATTTGCTTTTTCTTTTGTACAGAATTCAAGTTACCTTTTGGGTTTAAGGATTCATGATATTTAATCTATTTTAGTGTTTTTGATCAATGCATTGACTTCTATTGTAATTGGGTGTTTTTTCTGGCAAAGAGATCAGAAATTGTCTGAATTTTATTGGTTCCTGATTAAAGATGATTAAGAATTTAAAATTATAAATGTAATCAAAATAAATGTAGTACCTTGTGTACCTTGTTAAGTATTACTGCAGTTTGAGATTAAACAAATGGAAAACTCTCTAATGAAATACTATTGTTTTGATAAGTTGCCTTCAGTTACAATAAACTTCTGAAGCTTATAAAAAATATGTAGGATTCCTGTGGGTATGTTACTTAGGCTGTTAGTTTCCAAGTCAACTTTTGACTCATGAACGTAATACTTCTTTTTACACTATAGCTCTGTATAGCATGGCAAATGAAACTTCCATTCTTAATCTGGGGATTAAACCTAAGGATTTCTGGGGCTGGGGTTGTGGCTCAGTGGTAGAGCCTAGAAGTGTGAGGCCCTGGGTTCGATCCTCAGCACAACATAAAAATAAATAAATAAAAAGAAAGATATTGTGTCCATCTCCAACTAAAAAATATTTTAAAAAAAACCCTAGGGATTTCTGACATATATGCATATCTAATATATACATGCACACACACATACATATACATATATATCAGTGTATATAATGCATATAGCCTAATTTTTTTCTCTTAGTCTTTGTTATACTTTGTCCTATATATAGATACTTCCTTTTGCCTTTATCTAAACTCTTCTTCTATCTTTCATGTAAAAATAAAATTTATTAGTTAAGTATATTGTTTTCATTTATTTGTTAACATACGGTTATCACATGTACTTGCTTCTCATGATGCACACTGTTAATGCTGGCAAGATGGCTCCAAAGGAATGTGGATGAGAATGGACATCTCTGCTCTTGGGAAATCAACTCTGGGTTTTGTTTATTTTTTTGGGTGTGTGGGTGGGTGGGTGGGTGGTGGTGGTGGTGATGATTGAATCCAAGGCCTCACACATGCTAGGCAAGTGCTGTATCAGCTGGGTTGTTATATCCTCAGCCTTTGGGAAACCAACTCTTGAATGTGAACTCTGATTACTAGGGCTATAGGAGGTACAAAAATGAACAAACCATAGGCCCCCTCCCCTTTATATGGATATGGCTAATAGCCTGTCTGAAGAAACAGAAGAGTAGAGTTGTTTAAAAAACAACCTCCCGGGGAGGCTGGGGTTGTGGCTCAGTGATACAGCATGTACCTTGCACATGTGAAGCACTGGGCTTGATTCTCCATACCACATAAAAAAATTAATAAAGGTATTGTGTCCATCTACAACTAAAAAAAACACCTGTAAAGTTGCTATAAATGAAATTGCATCTAATAATTTTCTTTTTGCTGCCCTTCACTAAATGAGGAACTCACAGACCAGCTTTCTAAGTATTATTGCTTTTTCCTTTTATGCATCTAAAAACGATATCACTGAATGGAAAATTTAAAGCATAATTTAGTTCCTAACTCAGAATAATATAAAAAATTCTTTTTAGAATCTGCAGCTGTTTAGTCATTAGACTTGTTATAGTATATCCTTTTCTCAGCTAAAATCAGACCTTCAAATCCATACCCCCATTATCCAAAAATAAAGAATTTGATGGTTCTGGTAAGGTTTATACTGTAGGATTACAGAATAGATTGTTATAAAATTCATATTATAGTTAAAATATGTTATTTTCCCTATTGTACCTGTTATATATACAATAATCATGCCAATATATTTTTGCATACCTTTAACATTTTAGTGAAATGCTTGTAAAAATGTAGAAATCAGGTCTGTGTGGTTATTCATACATGGCTGTCTTTGATTACTTTAAGCATAGATTGGATATCTTTTTTTAGAAGGTTAGCTGTGGGTGTATATAATAAGTCAGCATATTGCGTATTTGAAGAGGTATGAAAAAATCACTATTTTAATCTGTGTACTGTTGTAAGGGTTTAGAGGTCAAATTTATAAAGTGTATGTCTTGTCTTTTGTGAACACAATATGATGTTGGACTATTCTAGGCCAAAGACCATACTTCTTAATTTACTGAAATAAATGCTGTCCAATTAAAAAAGAAAAAAATACAGTCTGTACTTTTTTTGACAGCTTTATTTATTGTTATGTACACACATTAGCATATATATGAAAACAGCAATGACTCAACATCTATTTGTGACTCCTTATGACCACTCACATTGGGAAGGTATTCTGGTTTGGATCTTTACTCTGCAGAGACACATTGTTGATTTTCTTTTTATTGGCATGAGTTTTTTGAAGTGCTTATGAGAGGGGAGGCATGTTTTGTAGGATGCCTTTTGAGTAGATGCCCCAAAAGGTCATGCCCACAATAAGGAAGTGAGAATTGAGTGAGGTGGAAATTTGAAGATTTAGGGGTGGGGATGCAACTCAGTGGTAGATCACTTGCTTAGCATGTATCGGGCCCTGGGTTTCATCCCAAAACTGCTACAAGAAAATTTTGAAATAATTGAAAAAGGGAGTGGGGAGAGAAAAGAATAGGGGAGGGTCAATTAGACCGTGAGCAAAGAGAATTTGTATAGAGAGAGGTTGGAGGGCAATGTTCATTCAGCCTAGGATAGGGAAGTGTTTCATGTGATTCCTTTCCTATGGCCATACGATTTCGTTTGCTGGTTTTGAAGTGTAGATGGCATATGCTCTTGAGATAGCTAATTATATGAAACTGTGAATAATCCAGTATTAAGGTATATCTTGTAAGTGTGCAATAAATTATAGCACTGACTTAAATTAGAGAACCAAAAATAAAGGATACAGTAGACAACTGTTGCAGAGTAACAGGGACTTGGTCACTTCAGAGGTATCCAAGGTGATTCCAATGATTTGAATGTACTAATCTGGAAAGGCAGTGGTATTATTTGTCTGCCTAGAAAACTTATAAAGTCTAAGTTTGGGGGGGAGACATAATGAGTTTAGCTTTAATAATAAACAATAAAAATGGCAACAGAATAAAAAATACTAATACTAATAAATACCACATTAAGTACTACCGTATGCTAGACACTCTACTAGATGTTTCGATCCCACAACAGTCCTACCCTTATGCCTGTTTCACAGATGAAGTAACCAAGTAACAGAGGGGCTATATAACAAGATCAAGATCAAGTGGCTAGGAACTAGGGGGTATGTCTGTGGCTCAGTGGTAGAGCACTTGTTTAGCATGTGTGAAGCACCGGTTTGGAGTTTCAGCACCACATATAAATAAATAAAAAGTAAAGGTCTATGGACAACTAAACAATATTAAAAAAAATTCCCTTAAAAAAAAAAATCAAGTGAACGATGCTTTGGTCTGCCTCCAGAAATAGCAGCCTTGAGTGTAACATGAAGCTGTGAAATGACACAAACCTTTCAAGAGGTAGTGCAGAGCAGAAATTAAGAGGCTTATTTAAATGGTGAGACTAGGGGCTGGGGATGTGGCTCAAGTGGTAGCATGCTTGCATAGCATGTGTGAGGCACTGGGTTTGATTCTCAGCACCACATTGAAACAAAATAAAGATATTGTGTTCACCTAAAAAAAAAAACCTAAAAAATAAATATTAAAAAAAATAAATTGGCGAGACTTTAAAAAGAGAGGCAAGCAGACCTTTTAAAAGCTAGGAGAGCTGGGCACAGGGACTTGGGAGGCTGAGGTAAGAGAATTCTCAAGTGCAAGGCCAGCCCAAGGCCAGCCTCAGCAACGTAGTGAGACCATGTCTCAAATGTAATAAACAAACAAACAAACAAACAAACAAATAAAGCTTAAGATATAGCCCAGTGGTAAAGTACCCTGGTTCAATCCTCAGCACTGTTTTCCGCAAAAAAATTCATGATGATAAGGATTAAGAGATGAACAACTCCTTTTCATTTTAAAAGGCCATTTATTAATGACCTGTAAGTAAAATAATGTGTTTAATACCAGAT